ACCAACGATGTCACAGAATCCCAGAGTGGTTTGACTGCAAAAGGACCTCAAATCCCAGCCAGTGCCACCCCTGCCATGGCAGGGACAGCTCCCACTGTCCCAGGCTGTCCAAGCCCTGTCCCTCCAGGCACTGGGTGCCAGCCTGGGCCCAGGGAAGCCTGTGCAGCCCCCCACTCGTACCCATCTCAGTGTCCCATCCCTGTGGTAATGCAGCCTGGATGTTTTCCACCTTAGTCTGAGTTTCCCCAGCTCTATGCAGATAAATGCTCATATTAAAAGGAATTAATTAATAACTTACATTTAGTTTCTTCAGAGCAGCAAGAGCAAAATCAGTGCATGGGATAGGAGAGTGCTGGGTTCAGAATCCCCACCCGGCCCAGGCAGCAGCAGGGCTGGTACTGCTCCCCTCAGATCTCCTCAGCTGAGACACAAAATGCAGATGTGAGCAGCCCCAGAGCTGCTCATTCCACCCCCAGCTGCTCTGTGCAAGGGAGGCATGGATATTCCAGGCTATCGCTGTCGTCAATAATCCCATCCATGCCTGTCGATTATTTCAGTAATTACCTCTCCTAAAAAGACTGCTGAGCATGATTACAAACGTGGCTTTCTTTTGATTGTCTGTTTTCCTGGCCACTAGCAGATGCCTGAATTCCTTGACTTTGTTTAACAATGTAGATAATGTTTGCTGTGCTTTCCCAACGCCTGGAGCTGACCCAGGAGTACAAAATGAATAACACAACCCTGATAAACTCACCTGCAAACTGCTCAAAGTTCTCAAATTAAACCCTATTTGCATACAAAAAACTCATCAAAAGAACATTGAGGGTCAGATTCTGTTCTTTTGAAGGTCTGGGGCTGCACTTGCTCATCCCTGTGGCCAAGGGAGGGGGCAGGACCCAGGGCTGGGCAGAGCTGCCCACCCCCGATCCCCGCTCCTGCTGGGAAGGTGTGTGACACCAGTAAGGAAATGACATTGTTTAAGGAACACACCCGAGTGACCACCCAGCTGGCCCAGGGCTGGCTGAGGGAACACCCAGAGTGTCCTGGAACGGTGTCCAGGGAGTCACTGGGCCCTGAACCCCCCAGGACTGCAGGGCTGCAGGGACCTGGGCATGGGCTGCGTTCCCAGGCTGGTTCCAGACTGGTTCCTGGGCTCATTCCAGGCTGGTTCCAGGCTGGTTCCCAGGCTGGTTCCTGGGCTCGTTCCAGACTGGTTCCAAGCTGGTTCCTGGGCTCATTCCAGGCTGGTTCCCAGGCTGGTTCCAGGTTGGTTCCAGGCTGGTTCCCAGGCTGGTTCCTGGGCTCGTTCCAGACTGGTTCCAGGTTGGTTCCAGGCTGGTTCCAGGCTGGTTCCAGGCAGGTTCCTGGCTGGTTTCCATTCTGGTTCCAGGCTGGTTCCTGGGCTCATTCCAGGCTGGTTCCAGGCTGGTTCCAGGTTGGTTCCAGGCTGGTTCCCAGGCTGGTTCCCAGGCTGGTTCCTGGGCTCGTTCCAGACTGGTTCCGGGCTGGTTCCAGGCAGGTTCCTGGCTGGTTTCCATTCTGGTTCCAGGCTGGTTCCTGGGCTCATTCCAGGCTGGTTCCTGGGCTCGTTCCAGGCTGGTTCCCAGGCTGGTTCCTGGGCTCGTTCCAGGCTGGTTCCCAGGCTGGTTCCTGGGCTCATTCCAGGCTGGTTCCTGGGCTCGTTCCAGGCTGGTTCCCGGCTGGTTCCAGGCTGATTCCAGGCTGGTTCCCAGGCTGGTTCCTGGGCTCGTTCCAGACTGGTTCCAGGTTGGTTCCAGGCTGGTTCCAGGCTGGTTCCAGGTTGGTTCCAGGCTGGTTCCCAGGCTGGTTCCCAGGCTGGTTCCTGGGCTCGTTCCAGACTGGTTCCGGGCTGGTTCCAGGCAGGTTCCTGGCTGGTTTCCATTCTGGTTCCAGGCTGGTTCCTGGGCTCATTCCAGGCTGGTTCCTGGGCTCGTTCCAGGCTGGTTCCCAGGCTGGTTCCTGGGCTCATTCCAGGCTGGTTCCTGGGCTCGTTCCAGGCTGGTTCCCGGCTGGTTCCAGGCTGATTCCAGGCTGGTTTCTGGGCTTATTCCAGGGTGTTTCCCAGCTGGTTCCCAGGCTGGTTCCAGGCTGATTCCAGGCTGATTCCCATTCTGGTTCCTGGCTGGTTCCATTCTGATTCTAGGCTGATTCCTGGCTGGTTCCTGGGCTCGTTCCAGGCTGCTTCCAGGCTGATTCCTGGATGATTCCAGGCTGGTTCCAGGCTGGTTTCTGGGCTTATTCCAGGCTGTTTCCCAGCTGGTTCCCAGCCGGTGCTCCACAGGCAGTAACTCATCACTGCCACCACAGGAAGGAGCTCCAGCACTGCTTGTGGAGCATCACTCAGCCCTGCAGCTGCCTGCCCGTGCTGCTCCGTGTGCTCCATCCTCTCTTGGTGCCTTCAGATCCAGCTCTGCTATTCCCGGGTTCTGCCCTGCCCCAGTGTGCCCCTGCACCCCACACCCAGTGCCAGCAGCTCTCCCCACAGCTCAGGCACACACAACAATCCCTTTCCAGCCCCAGAACCAAGGGCAGCGCTGCAGCTTCAGCCCCAAGAGTGCCAAGAGCAGGGGATGGAGGAGAGCAGCCTGGGAGGGTGGGACTGCATCCCTGCAGCTGGGATTGGACCCTGAACCCACCCTGGAAATGGAGCAGAACTGACCAAAGTGTGAGATTGGGCTGGAGCCACAGCCAGGTTCTGACACTGCCCAAGGTGTGTCCTGTGAGCCTTGGGATCAATCCCTGCTTTGTTCTTGAACCCTGCCCAGCCCTGCCCCAGGGAGCTCTCAGCATCACTGCCCCAGCTGTGTCCTGGGAGGCCTCTGAATAAACCTATTGACAGCTGGCCTGCAAGCAAAGCTGAGTTAATAGAAGAAATGACAAGAGTTAATTGAAGAAATAACAAGAGTTAATAGAAGAAATAATAATTGATGATTTTCGAGTGTATCCATAGCAAAGAAGAAGACAAGGCTGTCAGCATGGGAACAGATTAGAAAAGATACATGAAAATTTTTGTAAGGTAGGCTATGTGCATAAGTAGATGTGTACATGTGCCTTATTAAATTTCTGTAAAACTTTTGCCAATTATATTGATGCTAATTGCTTTGCACCAATGAATGTAATAAGTTATTGTGATGTGGTTAATGACTCAAGATCACACTTTGTTAAGAGTGTATAATCTGGAGAACACACAGAATAAAAACCTTTTCTTCTTAGACCCTGATCACGTGTGTGTATGTCACATCTGACCTAACAGTGACACAAATTCCTGCTTTATCCTTTACCTCTGCCCCAGGAAGCTCTCAGCACCACTGCCCCAGGTGTGTCCTGGGAGGGAATGATTTCCTTGGATTAAATCCCTGCTTTATCCTTTACCTCTGCCCAGCCCTGCCCCTGGGAGCTCTCAGGCATCACCTTCTCCTGAGCATCCCCTCCCCACAGTGCTGAGGTCCTGCAGGGCGCTGGGCTCCCTCCTGTCCCCACAGAGAGGGGATGGATGGGATGGACAGGATGGATGGGATGGACAGGATGGACAGGATGGACGGGATGGATGGGATGGACAGGATTGGACAGGATTGGACAGGATGGATGGGATGGACAGGATTGGACCGGTTTGGACGGAATGGACAGGATTGGACGGGATTGGACGGGATTGGACAGGATTGGATGGGATGGACAGGATTGGACAGGATTGGACAGGATTGGACAGGATGGACAGGATGGACAGGATGGATGGGATGGACAGGATGGACAGGATGGACAGGATTGGACGGGATGGATGGGATGGACAGGATGGACAGGATTGGACAGGATGGATGGGATGGACAGGATGGACAGGACTGGACAGGATTGGACAGGATGGACAGGATTGGACAGGATTGGATGGGATGGATGGGATGGACAGGATGGACAGGATTGGACAGGATGGACGGGATGGATGGGATGGATGGGATGGACAGGATTGGACAGGATGGACAGGATTGGACAGGATTGGACGGGATTGGACGGGATGGATGGGATGGACAGGATGCAGCTCAGGGCCTGCTCCAAGCCTCCCTCCTAGGCTGCCTGCGGGTGCCCCAGCGTGTCTCACTGCAGGATCTGCAATTCTGAGCCAGCCTGAAGAAGACATAAAGTTCTGTTTATCTGCAGGGAGAGCTCCCAGCATAACCTTTTCATCAAGAGCAGATTGGCTCAGGTATTGATTGACCCTTCAGAAGGCTGGGGGTGCTCCTGACACAGCTCCATCCTCACCTGGGGTGTGCCAGGTGCATGAACTCTGATTCACAGGATCTCCAGGCTGGCAGAGCCCTCCAGGATCATTGAATCCATTGAATGGATAACGTGGTGCTTCGTAGGAGTGATCTCAGGGTGCAAAAGAACCGCCATGGTATGAGGGGGTTTGCAGTGATAATCAAAACAAATGCACCTGTATTGAATGACCACAGCAAAATGTGATAGAGGGATTAAGGGAGAGGAAAAGACAGAGAAAGAGAGAGAAGAGAGAGAGAGGGGGATATTGCTACCAACGTAGAGATGAAGTCCTTTGGTCCAGTCCAGTCGAGGATCCGCCTGTTACACTGGGGAGATCTCAAAATCTCTCGCTAAATCAGAGGTTTTTATTATTGAAAATTGTGAGGGGGGTAAACAGATACAATAAGGAATAGATGTATCAGGTAGTCCATGCTCTCAGCAGTAAATGAGAGCCATTGTTTTCTTGCTCCATTGGTCACAACCTGCAGGCAAACATCTCGCTTTGGTCAGCTTTGGTCCCCCACACACCTGCCCCGGGCTGGGGGTTTCAGTCCCAGGCCTTGGGAGGAGCAGAGGGGCCTTTTCACATGGGGGTTCCATGTCTCAGTCCTTGGGAGGAGCAGAGGGGCCTTTTCACACGGGGGTTCCATGTCTCAGTCCTTGGAAGGAGCAGAGGGGCCTTTTCACACGGGGGTTCAGTCCCAGTCCTTGGGAGGAGCAGAGGGGCCTTTTCACAGGGGGGTTCCATGTCTCAGTCCTTGGGAGGAGCAGAGGGGCCTTTTCACATGGGGGTTCCATGTCTCAGTCCTTGATGGAGAGGCTCCTCACATCTCAGTCTGTCTGTCACGGTGGTTGTAAAACAGGTGAGGGTCTGCTGTGGGGGGACCACCCAGAACTCAGGAGAAGTCCAGCCAGGCTGAGAGGTGGGAGAGCTTCCAAAGCCATTGTTGCAAAAAGGGCACGGTGACCCTTCTTCTTCTCAGTGCAGCAGCCAGCAAACACACCTGTGAAAACAATAACTTAACACTGTGCTCTCAGGTCTAGGGCCTTTGGTGTGTGTGACTTTCTCCTTCAGAGCCAGAGATTCCAGACAGGGGGGGTCATCTCTTCAGTGGTCGCCCAATGACAATCGTGAGGCAGATGAGGGAAAATTCGGACAGACTCTCACACAGCCCCAACACCTCCACTAAACCCTGGCACCCAGTGCCACATCCAGGCTTTGTTAAACAAACTCTATCACCCTTTGAGATGATGTCCAGGCTGGCACAGGGATCCTCTGTGCCCTGAACTGCTCCTGGTGCTACCCCAGCCCAGCCCAGGGTGGCACAGCCAGCTCAGGAATTCACTTTGCCCTTGTTCTAAAGGCTCTGTCCCTGGTTCTGCTGGGCCCAGGTGTGTCAGGGCCCTTTTACAGAATCCCAAAATCCCCAGGTTGGAAGACACCTCCAGGATCATCGAGTCCAGCCCAGCCCCAACCCCTCAACTCAACCCTGGCCCCCAGTGCCACATCCAGGCTTTGTTAAACACACCCAGGGATGGGGACCCCAGCACCTCCCTGGGCAGCCATTCCAGAATTGCCTGAAGCCACAAGAGAGGGAGCAGGGCACCTGCTGGAGCAGCAGCAGCTGGGCTGGAATCCCACAGCCACAGGAACCAGCTCCATGGAATCGGCTCCATGAGCTCAGGAGACCCAACGGCCCCAGCAGTGACTCAGCTCCTGCTCCCTGTGGATATTCTCCACAGAATATCCATGGATGGGAACATCCATGGAGCCCAGCCCAGTGGGCAGGGGCCCAAAACCCACCCCAGCCCATGCTGGCACCAGCTTGGCCAGAAGCACTTCTCAGAAGTGGAAGGGAATAAAAGAAATTGAATTAAATTAATCCAAAGTTAACAATTTCTGGGCGCTCCTAGGTGACCTCCCATGCTTCCTCTCCCTGTTCCCACAGTTCCACTGAATCCCAGACTGGTGTGGGCTGGAAGGGACCTTAAATCCCACCCAGAGCCACCCCTGCCATGCCCAGGGCACCTTCCCCTGTCCCCGGTGCTCCCAGCCCTGTCCCAGCTGGATTTGGACGCTGTCTTTGCCCTCAGGTGTGAGAGGGTGAGATCTGCTGGTCTAAGGGAGGTCCTGGGGGGCTCCTGGGGCTGCCAGGTGGCTCAGGGACCCCCGTCCCTTCCCAAATCCCCCGCCCTGGGCACACCTGAGTGCTGCCAAAGGCTGCCCCAGCCTCATGCTCTGCTGTCAAATCTGTTCGAGCATCTTTTCTCATGTCTGTGTCAAAGAAAAAGTGTTATCTCCAGGAAAAAGTGTCCCTGGCTGCCTTCCAGTCACCTCCTGCCTGACACCAGGAGTTACAGAACACAGGCAACAGGAAAAGAATAAAAGTACAGCAGATAAGTGGGCTTTGTCAAAAATTAAATTAAATTAAATTAAATTGAAGTATGTTCACAAAATACACAGGTGGTAACCACATGGTCTTTGGCCCTCATGTGTTGCAAAGAGAATTTTTGGTCCCAGGACACCCCCAAAGGGGACAGAACTTTATTTTGGCAACTCAAAATGCCCAAATGCAAAGCAAATTTAAAATCCAATTACTTAAACCAACGTTTCTCGCTCTTTTGGTTTTTTTTTCTATTTAAATCATGATTAAAAGCAGCTCCTTGGCTGATTTCAATCAAGCCACCCAGTCTCTCTCTGCTGATCTCAAGCTGTTAAATAAGAAACAGAAAATCATCAATAACCCATCTGTGTCCCAGCTGAGGAGCAGCCCCACGGGGGCAGGGGCTCCCTGGCTCTCCTGTGGCAATCCCCGGGTTCTGAGGGATGCCACGAGCCCAGAGGAGCCCCCAAAAAGGAGTTTGTCCCCCCAGGTGTGTGCCAGGAGCCAGAAGGGAGGGCAGGGTGCTGAGCAGGTGCTTCCACTCCCTAAAAAGAGCCCAAATCACCCTTGAGAGGCACAGACAGCAATTCCATCGCACAAAAATTGAGGGTGGGTGTAGGGGAGAGTAGGGTTAGGAGTAGTACTGTGTTCACTGATGGGATTTTGGTCCATGCAGTTGTTAGGGCAGAAAGCTTTAGGACTTTGATTGTGTTTAGGGTGAGGAAAACGGTTGCAGTTATTAGAGTGTATAGGCAGAAGTTGAGGAGGGTGAGTTTGGGGCTGTAGATGATCATGATTGCTATTCAGCCTAGGTGGGAGATGGAAGAAAAAGCTGGGATTTTTCAGATTTGTGTTTGGTTGAGCCCCATTCATCCTCCCAGGGCTGCTGAGAGCACAGCCAGGATAGGAGTGCAGGGTTGTCACAGACATCTTTTATGGAAAATCCTTTCCTTAGGATTGTTCCTCCTGAGAAGCTGAGAGGTGAACAAAATGTACCCAATGCTGCTGTGGGATGCAACAGGTGCATCTGGGATTGGGCTCATGGGGTGTTTCTAATTCATGGCCAATCACAGCCCAGCTGGCTCAGACAGAGAGCCGAGCCACAAACCTTTGTGATCATTCCTTCCTATTCTATTCTTAGCCAGCTTCTGATGAAATCCTATCTTCTATTCTTTTAGTATAGTTTTAATATAATATATATCATAAAATAATAAATCAGCCTTGTGAAACATGGAGTCAGATCCTGGTCTCTCCCCTCATCCTGGGACCCCTGTGAACACGGTCACACAGGGTTTCACAAAATTTCACTAAAATTTCTGAGGGTGCCACCCCTGCTTTGGGAACCCCCCCGGGTTGGGGACCCTGCACCTGCAGCCCATGGCAACCAGCAGGTCAGGCAGTGAAAAACCCCTCTGAGATCCCAGAGCCCAAGCATTCCCAGCAGGGCCAGGATGATGAAAGGAGCAGGGGAGGCCTTGTCAGGCAGAGCAGGAAGAGCAGGGGAGCGCAGGGAGCCCGGGGGTGCCGGGGCTGCCTCGGAGCCGTTCCCCACGGTTGGGGAATTCCCTCCCGGCTGCAGCTCCCTGCTTGTCTAATTGTCCTTGATGGATTTGCCGTCCCCCAGGAGCGCCAGCCAGACCTCGCAGCTCCAGATGTCTGAATATTATGCAGGAAGCTGGTAAACAAATTCCTCCTATTTTTCCTGCTAGCAATTAGGAACGTAGGAAGAACACATTGCTGAGCAGGCGAGGGATGCACGGCAGATATTTCATATGCATTTATAGCCACTTAACGCCTCTGGAAGGGTGATAAACACCGGCTATTGTAAATCTGTTTGATCGCCCCTTGTTGCTACAAAATCCGGAAAAAAAATTCAAAATAAGGGGGGGAAAAAACAAAACAACCAAATGTTGAAATAAGAGTTAAAATTGCGGTAAATTAGTGATGACAGCTCCTTTCATATTAACTACCAAGCACTCGGGTAACAGAGCAGCTCTGCCACTTCCCCCCCAGCAGCTTTTTTAGGTGATTTCAACTTTTTGCCCCAATTTCAGCTGGGCAGCAGGTCCCTGCCTGCCTCCTGTGCTTCCCCTCTCCGTTAATTTCCCTGCCTGCTCCAGCAATCCTGCCCTAGGAGGGATGGCTTAGGTGGCTTCAGGAGTCTTTGCCAGCATTAATTGTTATGATTTTAGAGCCCCACGGGGTGCAGACTTCGAAAAGGAGAATTTGTTCAAAAGATTGGGAGGGAAATTAAAAAATCCAGCGCCACGGCTGTGCAAAACCAGCCCAGGGACAGAGCTGGGAAACCTGGACAGGGTTTCAGCTCCCAGGGGGAATGGACAGAGCTGGGAAACCTGGATAGGGAATTACATAGCTGGGAAAGCTGGACAGGGAATTGCAGTCTCCAGCTCATACGAAGGATGGACAGAGCTGGGAAACCTGGAGAGGGAATTGCAGGGCTCCAGCTCACAGGGAAAATTGATAAAGCTGGGAAACCTGGACAGGGATTACAGAGTTGGGAAACCTGAGGGGAGAATTGCAGTTTCCAGTTCACAGGGGCAATGGTCAGAGCTGGGAAAGCTGGACAGGGAATTTCAGGGCTCCAGCTCAAAGGGAAACTGGACAGAGCTGGGAAACCTGGACAGGAATTACAGAACTGGGAAACCTGGATAGGGAATTGCGGGGCTCCAGCTCACAGGGAGAATGGACAGAGCTGGGAAAGCTGGACAGGGATTACAGAACTGGAAACCTGGATAGGGAATTGCAGTTTCCAGTTCACAGGGAGAATGGACAGAACTGGGAAACCTGGACAGGGAATTGCAGAGCTGGGAAAGCTGGACGGGGAATTGCAGAGCTGGGAAAGCTGGACAGGGAATTGCAGTCTCCAGCTCACAGGAGGAATAGACAGAGCTGGGAAAGCTGGACTGGGATTACAGAGCTGGGAAAGCTGGACAGGAATTGCAGGGCTCCATCTCACAGGGTGAGTGAGGGGATGGTGCTCCTGGAAAGCACGAGGCACACAGCCACATGCTGGAATTCCACAAGCTGCAGAAATTTGGGAGCAATCAGATACATTTTGTGGTAAAAAGGAGCTTTATCCAGCCCAGCTGCTCTGAAGTTATCAGTGCCATGGTGTTTTCTGGGAGAATTAAGGTTGTCTCTGTTTCAAACCAAGAACTGAGCTGAGATCTCTTTTCGTGGCTAAAAAGCCCCAATGGCAGCTGTGCCAGGGTGGGTTTCCCATCCTTTTAGGCTGGATTTTGGTCTGAGGACAGATAAATGGCTCTGAAGTAGAGGGAAAACCTACAAGGAGAAGGAGGCAGCTCCTCCTTTGCAGCTTCAGGGTGTTCAGTGCTCACCAGGCCCTGTCTGAGGGTCCCAAGGCTCTGTCTGAGCATCCCCAGAGCCACCAGAGGCCCTGGCCCTGTCCCTGCTGTCCCAGCCCACCAGGGAGCCCTGGCCACCCCCTTTGCAGTGCCCCCGAGCTGCTGCCCAGCCCCAGGGGCACCTGAGCAGGTGGGACCCCCATGCCCACCTGGCCCAGCACCGCAAAAGTGCCAGGGCCCCCCATGCCAGGAGCTGCAGAGGGGCTGCAGGGCCTTGCTGGCCATGGTGCCATCACCATCATCACCTCAGGGCATCTGACCTCTCACTGAATCATGGTGTGCCCTGCTTTTGCACATCTTTATTCTCAAAACTAAAGAAATTCTCCTTTCTGACACTTCTGGGCACTGCCCTGCCCAAGCAAGGGTGCCAAGAGACAAAGCTGCTGCAGCACCAGCTCCTGGCCCCTTTGTGAGGGTTTAGCCATCCTTTATCCACCTTTTATCCATCCTTTACCCACCCCTTATCCATCCTTTACCCACCCTTTACCCATCCTTTACCCATCCTTTACCCACCCTTTACCCATCCTTTACCCACCCTTTACCCATCCTTTACCCACCCTTTACCCACCCTTTACCCACCCTTTACCCACCCTTTATCCATCCTTTATCCACCCTTTACCCATCCTTTACCCATCCTTTATCCATCCTTTATCCACCCTTTACCCACCCTTTACCCATCCTTTACTCACCCTTTATCCATCCTTTATCCACCCTTTACCCATCCTTTACCCACCCTTTACCCACCCTTTACACACCCTTTACACACCCTTTACACACCCTTTACCCATCCTTTAGGGGTGTCCCAAGCCCTGGACAGTGTTAAGGACAGCCAGGGCTCCCAGCCACAGCCCAAAGGCAAGTACTGCACTTTGCAAAGCATCATTTTCACCCCATTTTACATTTTTTCCCCCAAACAAAGGTGCTGGTGAGGGCCAAGCTGGCCCAGAGCATTCTGGCCTGGCTGTGTTTGTTTTGGAGCCGGCAGGAAGGCTTTGGTGCCACCTCTGCTTAGGGAAAGGCTGCAGGAAACCCGAGCCTGGCCCTTTCAAGCCTTCTCAAATGAGGGTTTAAAATAGCCCTGGGAGCAGAGCAGCTGAGCTGCTCCTGTCAGACCAGAGCTGGGAGAGCAGCACGAGGATGGAGCCACGGAGCCCAATGATGTCTCCATCCCACAGCACCCCCAGGGTGCTCAGAGCCCCCAGTGCCCCAAACCCCGGCTCCACAAAGGGTGCTTAAAAATCCCTTCCCATTCCTGTTTATTTCTGCAGCAGAAATAACCTGCAGCCCTGCAAAGTAAGTGCCCATTTGCTGCTTGCCTCCCTCTGCTCTGGCTCAGGTGTGTGTGGAGCACAGACCTGTTGGAGGACTCAGCTCTCTCCTGCTCCTCGCCGCGATGAAGGAATTAAATACAAAATCTTCTGTAGGAAGCAATTGTGAAGTGTGGAAGTTTCTAGTCAGGCAAATAAATTGGATTTAAGTATATTACAGTCATAATCTTTTTCTGCCTCTCTCCAGACAGCCTTTGTACATGGAGAAATGAGAATGTATTCTCAGACAAATCTTGACCTGAGGGAGAAGGCTGCGGGAATCTGGATTTTCAATAACATAAGACAATAAAGCTCAGACTCCTAACCTGCCGCAATATGGTAAAAGTATAAAGAGCTTAGCAACTAATAAAAGAAAAGGGTCTTCCAACTCATATTTGAAGATCTAGACCCCCAAAAGGACACTTCATAAAGATCATAATGGGTTAGTCAGTATCTAACAGATACCATGTACCTTGTTGACCAATTGTCTGACAGTTGTCTTCTGCAGGCCTGGATATTAATAAGCCTCGTGTTGATTTCCTTGGGGTATTTTTTCTTCGTAATTGTACATCTCCTTGTTGTGACACTGCAGCCTGCTATGTATTTATTTAATGCCATTCCTACAGCAAAAAAAAAAAAAAAAAAAAAAAATTAAAAAATAAAAAAATATCAGGGTAAGTGTGGCATAGTTTCCCTCAGATGAAATGCACACACTGCAAATTTCCTCCCCCTCTGAGGCAGCAGAATCAAAGCCAGGCAGAGGGAGAGCTCCTGGACTTGGGGCAAAGAGGAAATCCAGATGTGTTTTCCCCTCAGGTGTGAATGTGTCTTACTCCCTGCATTACACAGGGAATACAAGGGGATTCAATTATCACCGCATTTTGATTTCCAATAATAACAAAAACTCCTTCTAGAAGGGGTTCCATTAAATAATGTTTTGACAGATAATGCTGGTGCAAAGTAGCTGTCAGTCAGGCAGCGAGATCAAGGGGAAGCAGATGCACGAGGCAGATCACAGGGAGGCTTAGGGAGTGAAAACGGAGCCTGCGAAAACTCCTCTCACTAACAAAACAAAACACAACAAAACAAAAAACAAAACAAAACAGAATAAAACACAACAAAACAAAACAAAACACAACAAAACAAAACACAACAAAGCAAAATAAAACAAAAACCACAACAAAAGACAACAAGACAAAACAAAATAAAAACCAAACCAAAACAAAACAACAAAGGCTGCCCGGGGCCCCATCCTGCTCTCAGTGCCCGGGCAGCTCCGGAGTGCAAGGAAAATGTCCTGGAGCTGCCTGGAGAGAGGGGCTGCAGCTGTGCCAGCCCAGCTACAGGGGGAGAGGGCACCTGTGCCCAGTACAGGGTGTTGGGGGTACCTGTGCCCAGTGCAGGGTGCTGAGGTGCCCAGTGCAGGGTGCTGAGGGTACCCGTGCCCAGTGCAGGGTGCTGAGGGTACCCGTGCCCAGTGCAGGGTGCTGAGGGCACCTGTGCCCAGTGCAGGGTGCTGAGGGCACCTGTGCCCAGTGCAGGGTGCTGGGGGTACCCGTGCCCAGTGCAGGGTGCTGAGGGCACCTGTGCCCAGTGCAGGGTGCTGGGGGTACCCGTGCCCAGTGCAGGGTGCTGAGGGCACCTGTGCCCAGTGCAGGGTGCTGAGGGTACCTGTGCCCAGTGCAAGGTGCTGGGGGTACCCGTGCCCAGTGCAGGGTGCTGAGGGCACCTGTGCCAGCCCAGGTAGGAGTAGGTAGGTGCCACAGTGGGGCACAGGAGGGAGCAGAGCTGTACTCCAGGCTCCCTGCAGGGTGCTGGCCAAGCCTCCTTGTGCCCTGCTCCAGCCCCAGCCCAGCTGATGGCCAGGACATCTCTGAGAACCCCAGATTTCCCCAAAAGCCGCTTTTCTTTGCCACTGGAACCAGGCTCAGCCCCTTTTTGCTGCATGGCCCCTCTCCCGTGGCTTGGAGAATCCCTGGAGCTAAAGGGGAGCTCCATCCCACCATCCCAGCATGGAACCCACTCTGGCCTGGCTGGGAGGGACCCCAAACCCCCCCAGTGCCCCCAGCCCAATGTCCAGCCTGGCCTGGAACTTCACTCACCTTCCCCACCCTCACCTCAAAGTCTATCCTGTGATTAAGAATTTTCCTTTTGCCCCCAGTGCTGCACAGAACCCCACACAAATGCTTTGTCACATTCCCCTTGCAGCACTAACTCACCCTGGCCCTGCTGGTCCCAGTCTCCAGCCCCCACAGGACCTTTGGGGTCACTCCTGGGGCTGCTGCCCTACAGGAATTCCTTTGGATTCCTGGTGCTGCTGCCCTACAGGAATTCCTTTGGATTCCTGGTGCTGCTGCCCTACAGGAATTCCTTTGGATTCCTGGTGCTGCTGCCCCTCTCCTGAGGCTCCCCATGTCCTGCCCCCAGTGTGGGGTTTGAGGGATAAATGGAACAGCACCGTGGAGGCACAGCCTGAGCTGGAAAAGGCACAGGAGAGCACTAAGGAGAATATTAAAATTACGAATATTTTGATTTATGGCAGCATCCAAAGCCAGAGCAGAGTGTCATGTGAGCCTGATGCAGATGGGGCTGCTCCAATCCTGATCCTGGCACAGCCCAGGATAACATAAATTGTGGGAAATAAGAGAAATAAGAGATGTGTTTCAAGGCATTTGCTGAGGGGCCAGATGAAATTACAATTAATTACAGTCTTTAAAATCTCCAAACTTTCCATGCAAGTCCTGAATGAGCTCGTTGAAAACTTTTAAATATAAACTATATCTGAAAGGCATTCATCTTTAAAAAATATATTTTATTTTGTCCATTGCTGAACTTCTCCTGGAAACCGAGCCCAAAGCTTAATATGGGATTAAGAGAGAAAATACCCAGGCAGAAGATTCAGTGCTCTTCTCTCTGGAATTTCATGGGTCAGACATGGCAAATTCCAGCTCCCTCTCCCAAAACAACTCCTCCATCCCACCAGGGTTAGGAGATGCCTTAACCTGCTCTTGAGGAAATCTTCAATTAAAGTGTTTTTGCTGAAACTTCTCCATCTAGGTAAAATTTGATGTGGGGAGGGAAAACCAAACAAAGCAGTAAAAGTTTTTCTAAGGAAGAAATGAAGTGAGGAAGGGATCTGATCCACCAGCTCCATATTCCTCCAGCACCTTCCTCACCAGTGATGTGGGTAAAAATACCAATATTTATGGGAGATAAATATTGGTATTTATTGGTATTGGAGATAAATATTGGTATTTATTGGTATTGGAAATAAATATTGGTATTTGAGATAAATATTGGTATTTATTAGTATTGAAGATAAATATTGGTATTTATTAGTATTGGAAATAAATATTGGTACTGGAGATAAATATTGGTATTTATTGATATTGGAGATAAGTATTGGTATTTATTGGTATTGAAGAGAAATATTGGTATTTATTGGTATTGGAGGTAAATATTGGTATTTATTGGTATTGGAGATAAATACCAGTATTTATCAGCATTGAATATAAATATTGGTATTTATCGGTGTTGGAGATAAATACCAGTATTTATTGGTATTGAAGATAAATATTGGTATTGGAGATAAATATTGGTATTTATTGATATTGGCGATAAATATTGGTATTTATTGATATTGGAGATAAATGTTGGTATTTATCGGTATTGGAGATAAATATTGGTATTTATAGGTATTGGAGGTAAATATTGGTATTTATTGGTATTGGAGATAAATATTGGTATTTATTGATATTGGAGATAAATATTGGTATTTATTTGTATTGGAGATAAATATTGGTATTTATCGGTATTGGAGATAAGTATTGGTATTTATCGGTATTGGAGATAAGTATTGGTATTTATCAGTATTGGAGATAAGTATTGGTATTTATTGGTACTGAAGATAAATACTGGTATTTATTGGTACTGAAGATAAATATTGGTATTTATCGGTATTGGAGATTTATCGGTATGGAAGATAATTATTGGTATTTATAAATTCAGGGGGGTTAGTTTGAGGTGCTGTACTCATGGGAGAGTGCTGCAAATAATGGGACAAGGCAAAGGAATAATCCAGCTGGAGAATCCCAACAAAAACTGCTCCGGAACTGTGCGAGAGCCTCAAGGAAAATGGGAAATGCTTCTTTTATAGGGATTATTAACACACATTGAATAAAGCTCAAGGCGTTGCCAGTGCTCTGGGAAGGGTCAATGGAGCTGCGGGTTTAGGATATCTGAAATTAGGAATTTGTTCCTTTAGGCAGCCCCGGGATTGGTGGCAGGAGGATGCTCTGCCCTGGAGCCCAGCAAGGGCAGCTCGTGGCCTTGGCCTCCGGGGAGCTGCTTTCTCACTTGGCTTTTTTTAAACCCTCAGGCAGAGTTACCAGATAAGAGAAGTGGAACTGAATCTAACGGGCAGCTAATTTTATCCTTTGCTTTGCCTGATAAACATCAGCTCACAAAGTCGGAGCTGAAAACCGCGGCCACGCTTGGGAAGGAAATAACACGGTGTATTTATAGTAAATAATCCTATTTTAGTCATTTTGCACAGAACTGTAGCTGAAAGGTTTGGCTTCATTCCCCTGCTTCACCTGAAGCTGTTCAGCTAAATAAATTTCCATAAACACCTTGTGCTGAACAAACACTAAATGAGGTTTATTTTGACCCCAAAACTCATTTGGACACAAGAGCCCCAGAGCAGCCACCCCTCCATGGGAAGCAGGGCTGGGCACACACAGGATTCCCACGAATACTCTGCCTGGAACGTGAATTTTAATGCCAAAAAAGTGCTGGAAATGAAGAAAATTCTGTACAAGAACTTCACTCGTGGAGCCTGGGATGTGATCAAACCTCCTGTAACTGCACGAGGCAGAATTTGGGGAAAATTGGGAATAAATGGGCACTGCCCATCCCAAGGCCAGGCTGGAGCAGCCTGGGACAGTGGCAGGGGTGGCGCTGGGTGGGATTTGGGGTCCCTCCCAACCCAAACCAGGCTGGGATTCTCTAAAAATGCTGAACCTTCACCCCCTCAAACCCTCCAGCAGCTCCTGCAAAGCAGCACTGCTGGAATTTGGTGTGCCCAACTTTGGGAATGCTCCAGGCTGGAGCACGGGCACAGACAAGCACATTCCAATGCCCCAGCATTGCATCTATCATTTATTGTGGTATTATCCCTGTATTTATGATTTATTATTATATTATCACTGTATTTCTCATTTATAATAATATTATCACCATATTTATAATTTGTTAAGATGATATCATTGTATTTCTCATTTATTCCCATATTATCACTGTATTTCTCCTTTATTCCAATATTATCACTGTAATTATCATTTATTCCAATATTATCACTGCATTTATCCTTTATTCCAATATTATCACTGTAATTATCATTTATTCCCATATTATCACTGTGTTTATCATTTTTCCAATATTATCACTGTATTTATCATTTATTCCTGTATTATCACTGTGTTTATAATTTATTATCACTGTGATTATCATTTATTGAGTAATTATCACTGTATTTATCCTTTATTCCAATATTATCACTGTATTTCTCATTTATTCCAATATTATCACTGTATTTATCCTTTATTTTAGGCCCTGCAGGCTGCCTGTCATCTCTGACACCCTTTCCTTGACCTACACCTTTCACATCTCTATTTTCAACCTGGAATTTAACCTGGGCACCCAAACCCAGGGCTTTGCTGTCCCTCTGAGGATGCCAAACCCCACCAAGGTGCTGCAGTGGGAAAAGCCCTTTTTCCCTTTTCCCTCTTGCCCTTTTCCCTCTGTATGCCAGCCCCAAAGCTGCAGCTGGAGCCACGGGCAGGGTTTGTGGTCCAGCAGCTGAGAGCCCTTGCTGGAGGAGACGGAGGGGAGCAGCCTGATGTGCTCTTGCCATGTGGTAATTTTCCAGATAAATGGACAGTTGCTTCAGCAGCTTCCCTGTTGAAGGTCAATGATCCATATAATACTGGCAATTACAGAAGCATTTCCATTGCAGACTCGGTGACAAATTTTCAGTGCAAGACAACAGAGAGACTGCAGCAGCAGCAGCACCAGCATGAGGGGCTGGGGATGCCACAGCCCAGCTCCTGCCTGGGGTTTGCTGGAGGAATCAGCCCACCCTGCCCAGCTCACCAGGTAATTCTGGCCCTGTTTCCTCTTTTTGGGGCATTTTGTAATCCTCATTTAATCCTAAAACTGAGTTTGCACCTCCTGGCTTTCACACACTCACTTTTCCTGCCTCCCTGGTCAAAGTTCAGCACTTTATAAAGATACACAGCAAAGTTCAGCTATTTTATAAAGATTCTCTAGGGCTGAAGGAAAGGGGAAAGGTATCAAATAAGGGAAAGCTGCTCAGCAATTGGAAAACTCGGGCTCCCAGCAGAGACACAAGCACTTCTAATTGCATTCCAAAACTGGGCAGGAGGCATTTTGGGGAGTGTGTCCTGCTGATGCTCTGACAGCTGCACCCAGAGCTGGCTGCAATCACAGTTCATGCTTCAGTCACTGGCTGAACATTCCCAGTAAAATGTGGATTGAAATAAAGAATTGTTTTGTGTAATGAGCTGTGCATGAGGGCTCTGCTGACAGGACCTGAGGGAACAGTAGGAAGTGGTGCCAGGGGAGGGTTAGGGTGGATTTCAGGGAAAGGTTCTTCCCCAGAGGGTGCTGGCACTGCCCAGGGAATGGGCACAGCCCCGAGGCTGCCAGAGCTCCAGGAGCATCTGGACACTGCTCTCAGTGGGATTTTTGGGGTGTCTGTGCAGGGCCAGGAGCTCGACTCCATCCTTGTGGGTCCCTCCCAGCTCAGGACACTCCATGATTCCATGAAATAACAGCTTGGATTTATATAAAATAACAGCAGGGAACAGGAAATAACCACAGGATTCCATGAAATAACAACCTGCACCATGGCATGGGATGTTTGAGCGTCCCTTGCACTCCCAAAAAGCACAAACCCTCCCTGCCCAGCGTCACAAAAACCAACACCAAGCCTTGGGAAAGATCCCTGAAATCCTGCTCTGTTTTAGCTAACTCCAGCTTGGAATAGGAGCAAAACCAGTGGCTGTTCCTGTATGGATAAAGGTGTAGTGAGCTGCCAGGTGACATTAAAGTCATTTATGAGATAAAAATAATTTTGAACAACATTGACAAAAAGTGGCAGAATTTTTTTCTTCTACAGGTGATAAAGTGGGCCACACAAAACCCCTTATTTCCTCTGTGTGCCTTGCACCAGCCCTGAACAGTCCCAGCCTGCAGCAGAGACC